AGGAAGCAGAATTTTTTTTTTTTGGGGGGTGTCGGTAACACCCCGCCTTCCGTCTCGCCCTCGCAGTCTCTCTCTCTCTCTCTCTCTCTCTCTCTCTCTCTCTCTCTCTCTCTCTCTGACATATCGCGAATGACACAAAGGGCACCTGGTGCTTTATGACCCCAGCAACCCCATTTCTACCCACTGGTACTGGCCAACCCCGAAAGCAGGGCCGTTTTTTTTTTTTTTTTTTTTGTTCTTGTGATTCTGCCTCCATAACGGCGTGGCCGCCGTGGCGGGATGCCTTTTTTTTTTAATATCCAAACAACACCCTGGACATGGGCCACAGGCCCCACACTGCCCCAAGGTCCCCCACAGCCAACGAATGGCATGCCTAACACAGGCCAAAATCGCTTTTTTTCTAATTATTTTTTCATAATTCAAAAAAAAATTCCTTTGGGAAAAAATAAAATAAAACATATAGGCAGGTGCTCATGGACACCCACAACACACCTGTGCAAAAAAAACGCACCCCCCCCAAAAACAACAAAAAACAAAAAGCCTTCCCGCTCACCATGAACTCTGAACTATACGGCACTGCCCTGAAATAACCATTACCATAAATGAAAAATGTGGGACGGCCCAGGAACAGACCAGTACCTAGCACGCCACAAGTGTCATTAAAAAACTACCAGGCGACGCCACTGCTGGCCTGAGTTACAACTGCTTTTTTGAACTCGGGCATTACAAAGTTGCTGGCTCGTGTTATTTTTGCCAATTGGAAACTCTGATGTGACATTAACGTACGTCCCTCTATCTGATGATGAAAAATTGTTCAGGAGGCTGAACACTCAACAATCTGCGGAGTCTTTGTCTTGGATGGTTTGGGTCGTGAACCCTTTGACCCTTGTTGAAGGCAGACTGTTCCCCAAACCAAACACAGCAGTGGGCAGCAACCCTGCAAAGCACCAGGTAACACAGTAGAGGCAAAACAGCTGCACAATGTCAAAAACGACTGTAAGGAACAACACGGCGTGCAGAATAAGCAGGGCGGGAACCACGTCCTGAAGCACAAGGCAACACCAACAAGGCAACCATGGGACAACAAGGCTAGCGGTCGCGTAGCACAGCAACCATGCAGTGGAGCACAAGGCAGCACCCACAAGGCAACCAAACTACAAAGCGCGTAAGCAAGAAAGAAGGCAGGGCCAACAGATGAGCAGCAAGACAGCGGAGCCCGCAGCAGCGAAGCGCACGGCAACACCAGCAACACGGCCACACCAAACAGCGAACACAACAATTTGCGGACAAACCACATGCGAAGCAAGCGGGACAGGCAGCAAGGCAGTGCCAGAGCGCAGACGAGAACCAACATGGAGCAAAGAAGCACATCACCTCCTTACATCACGATTGAACACCGCAGACTGTTGGTTCCCACCACCCACTGAACCAGGGAGTCACTCTGACGAGCATCCGTCACCACGCACGGGCATCACAGACATCCGGAGCTGAGCAGCCCCCATAAGAGTGCAATAGGCACTCCAAACCAGGAACCACCGACTGTAGGGCACTACTTTAGGGTGCTCAGTTGGGTAAGCAAAAATACTTAAGAAAAAATCAGAGGGAGGACAGACAACAAGAGGAAAACAGACAGACATAAAACTCATTTTGTGTGTGTATGTGTGTGCATGTGTATATAAAAATCAGATCCCACGGCAAATCCATGCCATGTCCAAACCGGCGCTCTCTGCTGCCACTTTTCTTCTATGAAGGGACCTCATAGTACATCTGCAGCTTATCATGACCAACTGGATGGAGGGCATGGGGGAGGCGGGAGGGCAGATAACATGCAAGCACACGAAACAGGCACAAAGGCACACCAAGACAGGCAAACCGAAAAAAATACAAGTCCCAAGGAAGTTGAAGGACCGAAAAAAATAAAAGCTGGTGTCACCTGGTGATGAAAGATTGTTTCGTCGGAGTTGCACCAACTGATCAGGAGGCTGAACCCTCAACAATCTGTGGAATCTCCGTATTTGATGGTATGGGTCATGAACCACTTGACCCTTGTTGAAGGCAGACTGTCCCCAAGCAGAACATAGCAGCTGGCAGCAACCCTATGGAGCACCAGGCAACACAGTAGATGCAACACGGCTGCACAACGCCAAAAATGACTGCAAGGAACGACATGGCACGCAGGGCATGCAGCCGCAACCGTGTCGTGAAGCACAAGGCAACACAAGCAAGGCAACAGCACTGCAGGGAACGACAGGGCGAGCGGACCAGCAGCTCGGCAACCGTGGAGCGGAGCACAAGGCACGAGCAACAAGGCAACCAACCTACAGGGCACACAAGCAGCAAACATGGAAGGCATGGCCAGCGGATGAGCAGCATGGGAGCAAAGCAGCGAAGCACAAGGCAACACCAACATCACGGCCACACCGCACAGCGAACACATCAACCTGCAAAGAACCACATGAGAAGCAAGCGGGACAGGCAACACGGCAATGGCGGAGCGCAGACGAGGACGTCCACACATCCAACACAGAGCAAAGCAGCACATGACCTACTTGCATCACGATTGAACCCCGCAGACTGTTGGTTCCCACCACCCACTTAGCCAGGGAGACACTCCGACGACCATCCGTCATCACCGACAAGTAACACAGACATCCCGAACCAAGCGGCCCCCCTAATAGTGCAGTAGCCTGTAGGCACTCCAAACGAGAAACCACCGACTGTTTGGCCTAAACCACTAGTACCTTTGCCGTTTGGAAAATAGCGGGCCTTGGGTAGGCCTCCGACCTTTTCGGAGGCCGAAACGAAATGACGGCCGCCGATCAGATTTATCAATGGCAGTCGTCGTCGGGCCCGACCTCCTAAGATTCAGGAGTTTGGGAAAACAGCCAGTTTTCCCTATTTTCCCACGGGGGAAAGGTACTAGTGCTCAGTTGCGCACAGAAAAAATTACTTAGAAAAAAACAGGGGGAGGACAGACAACAGAGAAAGACTGACAGGCATAAAACTGATTGTGTGTGTGTGTGTGTGTGTGGGGGCAAGCCTGACACTAAGCACCACTTCACTGTAAGGACAAAGCTTCAGATTTTGTTGGTGGGAACTCCCACTTGCTGTCACGGTCTACTTGTGGGGAACAGCACCCACTGTGCTGTTCATTCACCTTCCAATGATCCTCGTGATAAAGCTTCATCAGATTCGTCAGATTCTATTGCTGGGAACCACCACATACGGAGGAATAGACAGGAGTCACATTCCCGGAGGAGAGAAAAGGAAGAGTAGACAGTAAGAGAGAGAGAGAGAGAGAGAGAGAGAGAGAGAGAGAGAGAGAGAGAGAGAGAGAGAGAGAGAGGAGGTGGGCAGAGAGATAGAGACACAGCTTCAGAACCTTCACACAGAGAGTCAGCTGATAATTCTACAGAGACACAGACACACAAACCGAAAGTCACAAATCTTTGCTTCGTACATGATGATGAGAGCCCTTTCCCAGGGCAAAGCTTTACGATAACTGTCTCAGAAGGAAGCACCAAAGCAGAGTCTGACCCCGTCCGACGAACAACAGAGAAATCAAATGAGGCAGAACTGGGGAGTGGGCCCCAGGGAACCAAGACAGGGAAGGGCTGCAGATACCTGGAACTACACTGGGCTAAACAGAAAAAGGAGGTATAGGATAAGGAGTAGCTTGTATGTTCCCAGAACTGGGCTGGGCCAATGGGAAACAGAGAGCTCTCCGACGGGAAGGGTAACTACTATCAGCCCCTAAGGGCAACAGAGAGCTTCAGGGCAGGAAGAGTAAAGGCTACAGCCCCGGGTGCAACAAAACTGATCATGCTGTATAAACAATGATGTATCTAAGGGATACTGGACCCGGTTTCCAGCAGGTGTCACTCCCACCAATAGATGGAGCAGCCTGCTAACCAAGGCCTCAATCCGGGCCGTTCTCTCACCACCACTGGAACAGAGGGCTTACAAAAGGGATTTTCTACCAAACAAGAAAAGAAAAGAAAAGAAAAGAATAAGGACTGCAGTATCGGTAGACCTATGAACTGTTGAAATACAGAACCCAATTTCGAAAGCAGATGCAACCAGATGAGCAGAATAAAGTAATCCAGAATTACCTGGGGCCAGTCATTCCAATTTTCAGGGACGCTGGACCCACTTTCCAGCAGGGGCTGCTCCTCACGAATAGATGGAAGCCTCCCCGGGGGGTACTAGTGGTGTCTTCTCTTAGCAGCACCATTAGGGTCAACTTGACCTGTTGTTTAAAAAAAAAAAAAAAAAAAGAAAGGATCATACCTTGAAAAAAAAAAACAAAAAAGAACTCGAATTATATTTCGCAAGTATCAATTTGAGGCATGGGACCTCAGAATTAGGCCCTTAGCCACTTTCGCTTACGGCCCGGCGGAACTCAGAGCAGCCAAGATCAATCACTAAAAAAAAAAAAAAAAAAAAAAAAAAAAAAAAAAAAAAAAAAAAAAAAAAAAAAAAGATCAATCACTTCGAAATCAATTGAATTGAACGGAATTGAATTGAACGTAAAAAGAAGGATCATCAGGTCTCTACCAGGTAAAGAATCATACCTCATACCTCAAAGCTGTCGCAAAAATGAAGAGTGCAGGGTCAGTGTACGCCAATTAATCAAGGATAAAATAGGGACAACGAGATAGCGTGATTCTAGACACTGTCACCCCGCACAGGATCCCTATGTAGAGGCAGGAAGCCAGGCTGTCCGCGGCTGCAGGGAGGCCCTCCGAATCGAGGCCGCTGCTCGAAAAGTTGAAACCCCACTCTTCCGTCAGACACCGCTCGTGTCTCAGGGAGCACTCACACTAGCACTTTTCAGAATGCATCTGACTGCGATTCCGGCAAGACTACGATGAATCTGACCGCCATAAAGTCCAGAGCCTTGTGCAAAAGTCCTCGAGTGAGTAGTACGTCCTCAGAGCATACTCACACCAGGACCTTTTTACTTATTTCCGGAGGCAATAGCAGTCAGATTCATCGAGGTCCTGCCGTAAATGCGGCGAGATACATCTAAGGTAGTGTTTGTGTGAGTACGCCCTCACGCTCCTCCTCCTCCCTCCACGCAGTCGCACATCCTTCCCTGCCAGTCAACCGAAAAGGAAGAAGATAAAGATACGGATGAGATAAAGATACGATGAAGATCAGATAACGACAAGGATATTAAGCTAAAAAAAGAAAAGAAAGATGAAGAAGATACGATAAAGTTTACGACGATAAGGAACGAGATGGCTTCATCATTTTGGACACTCCTCGCAGGAGTCCTTGACAAAGGAAGCGAGGTTGGGCGACTCCAAGTGCACTCCGACTTGAGGCCGCTGCTTGCAGAACAGAAGCCTTGACTCGTACGACATCACCCTGTTAAAGTACACGTGTTCCACCTCCCTCTTCCCTCCATCCTCCGATATCACATAGTTCCCTTCAAATTGGCAGTAGCAGAACGTAGCCGATGCTGCAACGGCGCTGACCGCACCCCGAGAGTTATTCACGAACGAAGAGTTTATGAACTTCAGGGAGCCTATGGACACAGACACCGCGCCTCCCGAGTTGGCCTCGAACTCGCATCTTTCGCCGTCCACCGTTGCTCGATATAGAAAGATCACCACCCCACCTATGTTCGATCGAAAGACGACGTCCTTCAGATAGACATTGCCAAACATGCCGTCAATCACCGTACCGTTGTTGCCAATAAACGTGGAGTTTTCGATGGTGACGGTACCCATGAACGCGCCAAAAAGTCCACCTCCCCGGGCAGTGTTGTTCTGGAACAGGCAGTTCTTGACAACGATGGTGCCCCCGCCCGCGATGACGGAGCTCGCGTTCTCTTTCGAAAGAGTAAAGTTTGACATCAGCAGGTTCTGCAGCGTCAGGATGATCCGCTCCTCGGCGCGGGCAAACCCGCCGAACCGCTCTCCACCGTAGATCTGGCAGAGCCTCGGCTGCCCGCAGTCTGTCGTGCAGTTCCCGATGACTGTCAGATTAGGACAGGTCACGTAGGGAAGATCAGACGTCAGACGGATGTCAGATGTCAGTCGCACGATCGTCGTGTTGGGGTTCATCATCGCCGCTCGTAGCCGAGCTTCAGCTGTGAGCGTGGAGGTGCACAAGCCGCGACGTGCCTCGGTAGCTGCCACGCCGCCCGCAGCGGCTTTCACGCCGCCGCCATAGCCGTCCAAGCTCAGCAAGACAAGCAACAGAAGCACTAGCGGCTCGCACGCCGTGCGCGTACGCAAGGTCGCCTGGCCTCCTGCCATAGCCTCAAGCAAGCACGAGTACGGACTCGGCGACGAGTGCCTGAAGGGGCAAATGTGAATCTCAACAATGTTGGAAAAGAATAAGCACTACCAGAGTGTGGCGTATAGGAGAAAGGAAGAAAGCGTGTAGTGTAGCGATGGTAGAACGAACCGACGGAATTGCGTGCTTCCCTGAATGTGACATTCAATAAATCCTAAAGATATTGCGCTGACGATCGGATCTCGGCAGTGGAGATTTTTTATTTTCTATTTTTGTTCCTCTTTTTCCTTTTTTTTAATGAAGGGCGACGCCCCCGCGAGATCGGGGCTCGCCGCACCACTCTCGAAATGTGGAACGTGAGGATGAACTTACTGCTAGAACATGGCCAGATGCACCCGTCACATTTTTGTCTTTCCCTCATTTGGAAATTGGTGTGGCGAGGCCCATCGTCGTTGAGCTGACCAGCCCCATCTAAATACCCAAATCCGCAAAATACGCGTATTTGGGAAGGGCCGATTTGAGGTTTTCGGCATGGTTGACGTCACACTGCTGTACCTTTTCAGATGGGACAAGGTCGCCGCCATCTGGAGAAATGGGGATTTGGTACTTGGCTGGTCACACGGCGCCATCCACAAATTGTGCAAGAAAATGGGGATTTGTGAACGAATTTTTGCCAAATTTTGAAGAAAATGCAAAAAAAAAAAAAAGGGAATTTGGAATAGTACATTTGCCAATTTGGTAGAAATGTGGTTTCCTTCATGCGGATTCATCTGGATTTGAACTTTGTTCTGTATTTCAACAGTCCTTGAGTATACCAGCTGAGCTACCGGTAGGCTCGTTGGTGCGGTGGAGATTTGCGGTCCGAGACGAGGCGGGGGAGGGGGGGGGGGGGGGGGGGCCAAGGGGGGGGAGGAAAGAAAAGAACGATGTGGCGGGTGAGATTTGCTGATTTGCTGTCCGAGGACGACGGCCACGTCTGCATGGAGTCAGGACGACCCTTCCAGGTCATTGGTGACCAGGTTCGCACCTTCTGATCACGAGCTTCGCGTCGTTGCGCCCTGCCGCACGAAAATTCACGGCCATCTACAGAAGAGAGCAACAGCGCGGATGTACGTGTTGATGATATGTAGACCGGAGTTCGAACCCCGATGTCAAGGCTCCTGCTACACGTACACAGTCGTCCGGTTCTGAAAAAATCAAGTGCAGCGGAGCCCGACACGTACACAGAAGGCGACCCGCGTGGCAGGCTACAAGGAAGCTCTTTTTTTTTTAGGGGGGGGGAGACTTCAGTAGAGTCACAAAAAAGGAGTTATAATTGCAATATGGGGCAAGATACAGTTTGCAAGTGCACTTCAGGCACCCTAACTGGCCAGCAGCTCGGTGGTACACATTGCCTGAACTGCAATTCGACACTGTATCTTGGTCCATAGTGCAATGCAATTATAACTCGTTTTTGTGACTCCCTCCTAGTTTCCCCTTCTTTTTTTCCCTTTTTTTTGGCGCGCAAAGGAACTCCAGCCGCGCCAGCTGGGGCTATGGGTCTGGCTCCACTACAAGGGCCTTGCCACACCACTCTTGAAACCGGGAAATTGTCCTCCGGGACATCCGTTAAAATTGGAATGATACAGAGAAGATTAGCATGGTCCCTGCGCAAGGATGACACGCATGAAGAAAAAAAAAAGAAAAAAAAAAGGGGGAAATATGTCAAGAGCTGTCAGACGTTCTCAAGAGTTGGGTTTTCAAGAGTTTTTGGCCCCTCGCCACACAGCAGTCTCGAAAGGGCGATGCCGTTGGACACAGTATGAAAAACGACAGTCATTTCGCATGGCGTCAGGATAACGGCCTGACAACAACTCTTCAAAAGAAAATCTAAAGTCCGTCAAGGGTTCGGCCAAGGACGGCCAAGGACTGGAAAGGCATGCGTTGCAGGCTGGGGTTTCCAATCTTTCAAGAGCTGCTCTTGAAAGGGTTTCAAGAGCCACTGAGGGGCTCAATCCTAGCTGGTGTAGCACGTGAACTCTGACCACTTCGGCTGCTTGTTCTTCTGAGACGGGGCAGGAATACCGATCAGCGGGAGTGTGAGAGGGAGTCCCTGTGGCGAGTCTGAGGGTATACTCACACTAGCACGCATTTTCATAAATCGTAAATTTTAGGTGATTTTTTGGGTCACACGGGCTACGTATCACGCAATGGGCCCGTAAGTGTCAGCAGGCACCGGGTTACGTATTTTGCGGGAACCTCTGGAGGTCCCCGCAACTGCGTACTTCTTTTAGACCTGTTTCTCGGGAAAAGTTATAAAAGCTCCCCGCCACGAAACCTTTGTATCGATATCTCCCAAAATGGACTTGCTGCATTTGAGATCCCCCAATAACTTTTCTGTAATTCTTGCTCCCCGGTCTGAGGCCGGCCGGTAGGGCCTCAGACCGGGCCTGAGGCCATGGAAGCTGATAAGCTTGGCTCTTTTCGAAGTTTCCGTTCTGCCTGCGGCACACTTGCAATTTCTTGGATGTATCTTTCTCGAATCTGGCCCAGGTGAGGTGAAGGCCCAAGTACCTCCGGCTGTACTAGGCCGGTAACGCCCGCAATGCAAAAATGGCGGGAAGTCATTTTCGGACCGGCGGCACACTTGCACTTTCTTGGATGTACTTCCTTGAATGTATCTTTCTCGAATCGGGCTCAGGTGAGGTGAAGGCCCAAGTACCTCCGGCCGCGTACTGGGCCTGTAACGCCCGCTATGCAAAAATGGCGGGAAGTCATTTTCGGACCTGCGGCACACTTGCACTTTCTTGGATGTATCTTTCTTGAATCGGGCCCAGGTGAGCTGAAGGAAGTGCGGATGCAAGTATGCTATGCCCTCTCGAATGTACCGAACCCGAATATCGCCCACGCACACCTGTGTTGGCTGGCGGCTGGAAATTCGAAGTGACTACCGGAACGGAAACTTGAGCCTTGGTTATCAAGCTGCCGTGGCCTCAGCCCCGGACTGAGGCCCTACCGGCCTCAGACCGGGGAGCAAGAATAACAAAAAAGTTGTTGGGGGACCTCAAATGCAGCAAGTCCATTTTGGGGAGAAATCGATACAAAGGTTTTGCTGCGGGGAGCTTCTATAACTTTTCCCCTGTTTCTTTCTGGAAACAAAAAAAAGAATTCGACTTTTGGTTGGCAGCTCTCGTAAGAAAAGAAAAGCAAAGAAAAACAGGAAAAAGGGACGGATTTTTATGCATCATGCTGTGTGACCCCTCAGCCGGTATAATTGCATTCCTAGAGCAGGTCAAGAGTGTGTCCTTTCTGTTTTGTGAGGTATACGGGTGTGCTGTGTGACTGGGATGTGGCGTACAATCGCTAATTGGCTCACATAGAATTTGCGATTGTACGTGCTGGTGTGAGTATGCCCTGAGCAATGAGAGGCAAAAACAATTCTGCGACTGGACCCCCACTCATATCCGTTTGCTTAGAGTGGTCATCGAGGTCGCGTCTCTCAGGGCATACTCACACGAGGACCAAAAGACCCAAAATCCCAAAATTTGAGTCATTTTTCAGGTCACACTCGACAGGCTTGCTGCCCAAATGCCTCAAACGGTGACCCTTCTGTCAGCGGCCTGCGGGGCTGCGGGCGTACCCTTTTTGAGACCACCGCCAGAGGTGGTCTCAAATTACTTTCCATTCTTTTTTTTCTGTTTTTGCGAATTGAAGAGAATCGTAGACGAAGAAAACAGCCCCCCAAACAACTGAAAGTGCGACCAGGAACATTTAACTTGTAGATAAGGCCCAAGCGTTATGCTAGCGTGAAAAAAAAATTAAAACAAGGGGTAACTAGGGCGCAGTCACAAAAGCAGTTTGTAAATGCATTTCGAACTGCCTCTTTGGAGTCCAGTACGGTCCCGAGTTTCAACTGCAGTCGAAACTCTTGACATGCACAAAACTCGCAAGGCCGAGTTTGCAATTGCAGTCCAGT